CCGCCTCATGAGGGGGGATCACTTACTTTCGGTTATACCTCTCCATGCCATGAACAGGACCCCCATGGACGCAGTTTGGAGCAGTGTAGAGATGAATGAGCTATCCATAAACCGATTGGTCCCCTTTGAAGAGTCAGAAGGTCACTCTACGCCAGACACTCTTTACATACCTGACAGATAGGCACTCCGAGGAACAAAAACACCAACTGCGAACCAGCAAAGAGAATCAAGGATCCAAAGTAGTATACTGTTCAAAGCGACGTGTCAGCTGTTTGTGCCCAAACGGCTCTTCATACATACGGAACGGCCACTTCTCCCCCAATACCCGCAACACAATGTACGACATGATCCCGAAGTAGATCAGGGTTGCCACCGCCGGCCAGATCGTCAGCAGAATGAATAGACCAATGTTCTTGAGATTACGAGGTGGATCCGATTTGAATAGACTTGTGAAGCCAAATGCCGTGTCCATTGCGATATACGTCGCAGCCAGAAAGAATATTCCTAGGATCAGGTCAGCTGATGCAGATCACAATGATTGTCAAATTTTCTAACCCATCAAACCAAAGAACGGCTATTCAAGCAGTCCAGAAGAGCAGATGTTAGGACGTGTTTTCGGTAAGGAACATGGGCGAACTTACGATCAACGAGCTAGGTGTGCCATCCTCAACAACCTAATCATTACTGTTCAGCTCTTTATTCAATTATCAGCGGCGCGGGACAAACCTGTGTAGCCACAATGCCGTTTCCTAACAGACACCAGAACAAGGCGACAACAATGCCAGCATGAATGCCAGTCAGGAGCACCAAAGGCAAGCTCCCCTGCTCCAGTACACTACCACTTGTCACTAGTTGAAAGAGAAGGGATATTGCGTATAATATGAACAAGGACCTGATCTCAATTCTCCCTAGTCAAACGGTCACCACGAGCCTGGAGCCAGGACATAACGAACGAGAAAGTTCAATACATACCAACAGCAGCACGCCTTCTATTGATTCTCTGGGAAAGATAGACGATGAAGATGACCGAGCAAGCACACGTTATAATATCTGCGATATTGCCAAAGCGTCCATTGCCTGCTAGCGGGATACCACAGGTCGGGTTGATACCAACTGGCGCTCTTGTTGCAGGTGTGAGCGTAAAGTTTGTTTTAGAGAGCTATACGTCGAATGCGTTAGATTCTGGGGGAAAACGTGCGGATGGTAACGAGCCTACCTGCTTATAGAATAGATTACAGAAAGGATAGGAGGTTACATCTCTACAGAAATAAACGAAAGAACCGAATCCTGCTTCTTGAACCGTTGCGAGAGTCGAGTTTTGGGCCATAGTTGTGCTATGGTCGCTTGAATGAATGAACTGGGCTAACTACCCTTCCCGACGCGAGAAGAAAGAAGAAACGT